GTAGGTACTACTACAATCTCCATTTTAAAAATGAAACAGCTGAAGCACAGAGAGAGTCGACAACTTGTCCAAGGTCACAGAGCCAGTAAGTGGCAGTGAAAGTCCCCTTCATTAACCATTGAGCTGTACTACCTTTAACTCAGCAGCAAAACAGAGGCACCAAGGAAATGAGCATAAAATGTTTTTGAAAGAAGGTTATATTTGGTATTTTAAAAGAAAAATCTCATAAGTACTCCTGGGAAAAGCTCAAATTGGCTAGTATTATTTTAATACTGAATTACATATGGGCTAGAAGCCACCAAATCTTTTCAATGATTAGGGCTTCTCAATGTATTAAGCTGCTTCTGAAAGAACGTATATATGAACAAAATTATACTAGAGCCCCCAGAGAAGAGAAAATATTCAGAGAGTGAACACTATTAGCAGAGTGGGATCTGGGGAAGAGGTCTCTAGACATGATGAATGGTTGAACAGTCGAAAAGGGACAGTGTGTGCAGGATATTGAGAAGAAGGCTTTGAGCACAAACCATGGGTGAGAGCCAGGTCATGGCTGGAGCAGTGGGCTGATAAGAGACGGTGAAAGAACACACACACACACACACCATGTAGAAATTTGGGCAAGTGTCCCATGGCCCAAGGGGTCCCAATAGTAGTTTTTAAGAACAGTAACATGAATAAATTTTTTTTTAAATAGGAGACTTTGGGAATAGGTTGGAGAAGGAATGGCTTTGAGAGAAAATATTGGCAGAAAGGCTAAATACTCTGGTGAAGAGATGATCAAGACCTGGTGGTGGAAATGCAGAGGAGGCACTGGACTTGAGACCATTTCTGAGTAGCAATTTGGTGAGTTTTGAAGTTCAATTGGAAGTGGGTGAAGAAGTGAAGAAAGAGTCAAAGATGACTTAAATGTTGATGCCACTCAATAATGCATCATCTATTCGACATAGCAGGCTTCACACAGCTGCACACAAGAGGTGAGACTCGAATTGCACCTTGGAGGATGACTACTGCTTCACTGCCAACATGGAAAAGGACATTCCAGGCAAAGAATGAGAAACTAAAAATCTGCTTATGTGGGCTTGTGTGGTGACTTCAGCAGGAATAGTATGGCTGGAGTGATGAAAGCTGCAGCCAAACTGGAATGCATGGGATGTGATCGAGAATTGAGTGAGTGGAGGAAGGGTGTGTGGAGACTATTCTTTCAAGCGGTTTGGCAGTAGAGAGAAGGAGGAAGTTAGAGCAGTAACATAAGGATGAGGACAAGTTCATTGGAGTGTGTGTATATATGACGCAGTCTATTAAGTGCTCTAACTTCCTCCTTCTCTCTACTGCCAAACCGCTTGAAAGAATTTCAATGGTGAGTTTCCATACCAGGACTTAATAAGGCTACATTATCTGCAATTGCAATTGCAAAAAATTTGACCTGAGAAATAAATTCTTTACTGGCCAGTGGAACAAAAATGACCTTTGTAGGGTATTCTAGGTTTCCACACATATATATATTTAATTGTAGAAAGAGAACTAAATGAAGATTAAAAGAAAGTATAAACATAAAATAAATAAAAATGTTAAAGAAGATTGTGTAGTATATACACATGTGGCCATGTACTCTAACAATGTAGATATATTGCAACCAAAAAAGGGGGGGAAGATAATAGGTATAGTACATGCAAAATAAATTTTCAACTGTTGTAAATAATCACACTGAATTCATGTAAAAATGACACAGGAACCAACTTGAAGAGGCTACCACTGGGCAAAAATGGGACAATGTGAACTTCAATGAGGGTAATAATTGCAATAGACTGAAACCCACCAAATATGTTTCAATCTATGAATTCAAACTTGTTTTTTAAAATGGGTCACTTTCAGAGAATGACAGCGAACCAGTCAGTCATCATAAACACTGGGCAAATAAAAGAATCTAGGATTTATATATAAACTGTATCACCAGGTAACCAAATAGACAAGGGGGAAACAAATTACAAAATTCAAAAATCCCATTTTGCAACCCCCAAAGAGTCAATATATAAAACTGTTAAACATCAATAGTTGCTAATATCAAAAAAGAGAGACCCTGGCCGGTGTGGATCGGCTGGTTGGAGCGCTGTCCTGTACACAAAGAGGTGGCAGGTTCGATTTGGTCACGGCGCACACCCAGGTTGCAGGTTCAGTCTCCAGGCGGGGCGCATACAGGAGGCAGCCAACCAGTGTTTCTCTCTCACATCCATGTGTTGTTGTTGTTTCTCTCTCTCTCTCTCTCTCTCTCTCTCTCTCTCTCTCTCTCTCACTCTCCCCCCCCCCCCCTCCCGCCCAGATCAATGGAAACATGTCCTCAGGTGAGGAGTAAAAAAAAAAAGAAAACCAAGATTTCTGGACCTCCCAATGAAAGGATGCAACAAAAGACCACTATGTTCTTGTCAAGAGGATCTAACCTGAGTCTGTTGAAGCCTCTGAATTCAGTTGCCAATTTTCAGGAAAAGCAGAAGATAGAAGAGCTTGCTGCACTGCACCAAGCACACACGTTAGTAAAACCTAGACTAGGGGAAATTCTATGGACCAATTGTCCTCGGGGTCTTCAACACATTTTAAACAAAAGAAAGGGATTGTGGGAGGGGAGTTTAACCTATAGATTAAAGGACACTTAAAAGAAAAAAAAACTGGACAAGACTAAATTGAGGTCTAGAGATGCACAGGTAGGTGATACAACCATAAAGAAACATAAGACCCTGGTTACTATAAAAGCCAGGACAGTGGATGCTTCTAGGGGAGGGGAAGGGGCTGTGATTGGGATGGGGCACATGGAGGGGTTTCTGAAAGGCCTAGCAAAATTCAATTTCTTAACCTGGGTAGAGGTTTCAAGGATATTAGCCTTATAATAATTTATTTAGTTGTATGTTTGTTTTGTGTCATTTTTCTGTACTTATATTTTGGTGTGTGTTTTTCAAGAAGAAAAAAAAAAGAAAAGCCCTAGCCAGTTTGGATCAATGGTTAGAGCATTGGCCCAAAGACTGAAGGGTTGCAGGTTCGATTCCAGTCAAGGGCACATACCTCGGTTGTAGGC